GTATATCCGACTTCCGGCATATACGTCGTTTTAAAAAGATGGCCCGTGTTAAATCATTATTGGGAGAAGTAGGGAGGGGAGGAGGAAGGGGGCGTTAGGAAGAAGAAGGAAGAAGAAGTTTCAAGAAGAAACGAATCCACGTTTCTTCGTGGATCATATTATATCACAATTCACAATTATATGGACGATATAAGTCGTAATTTTTTTTTCAAACTCATAGAACGAATAGGTTTTAATAAACAAGTTTTCATTGGTCATTATGGTCGAACGAGCGAAAAAAATTTTTCTTTTTTTTTTTTTTTAATAAATATTCATCTCTTTAAACTCGTGCGTTTTTAATAAATTTGCATTTAACGAGACAAATATTTTCATCTGGAATAAATTGCATAGAGTTGAACGTCAATGCGACGATCCAACCTCGATAAATTATTATCGAGAAATGAGATTCTCGATTTTACATGGAATATTAACTTTGTATCTGTGAAGAGAATACAGAAGGAAGAAGAAAAAAAAAATAGAAAAATCTTAACCGAACTGCAACATAATAATATAATAGATAAAAAGAATATATATATATATATATATATATAAATGTTATCTTTATATAACACCATTAGAAGTTAGTTTCAAGCTTCTTGAAACGAAGTAATTAACTGCGAATTAATGTTCCGTTAGAGATTAAAAAATATATTATTAATCAACGATTACATGAATACTTTTTATAAATATTTATGAATATTTATGAATACACACTTTTATGAATCATTAATATTTCAGATAAATTAATGACGACTATTTTTCGTTGATTTCTTGATAATTATATAAAAAAGAACGATAATAGATATTGCCATTAGTATTCAATAATTATAATAATATCTACATCTATATATTTTTAAAACTTTTATTCGATAATTTCATTATATCGGAATTAATATGAATGAACAAATTTCCAATTACCAATTACCAACGACCAAGTGATCAATTTGTAAATAAAAAAATTACACGCGTGTAACATTTCGCTTCGTAACGTTACAACGACGAATCATCGATAACGAATCGCAAATTACCATACAATCGCGAGCATAAAAGATTTAATGTCGTGGAACGCCATTGTGGATCTATCGTCATCGTCGAAAGCGACCTGAATGCATATAAATATGCAGAAATAGCTTCGTATATCAATTTCGTGATGATAATTTCATCATCCGAGTGCATCTCTTCGTTATCATTTCATACCCTTCGCGATCTCGACGGGCGAAACGCCGTCCGATTGACTCGCCAACCAAGTTTTTCCCTTCTGACGGCAGTTTCCCGGCAGAGCAAGGAAAACGCGCGAAGAATTCATTAGAAACGAAATCGTGGCCAATTCGCTTGGCAAACGTTGCGACGTTCCATCCGTATCTTAAATCGATGAGACTGGCGGAATCGTCGTGACGGGAATAACGAGCGTGGAGGGAATAACGCGAATCGGAAGAAGCAAAAGAAACGACGTGGAATATTATATCGTAACCGTGTGGATTTTACGGGGAAAACTAACGCGAGTAAAATTAATTTTACATTTTACTATATACCGCACTCTTACCAAGAATAATCTCTCGAGCTCGTTTATTTTCAATCGTGGTTTCCTCGTCGAATGAACCGGAACTCTACCGGAAGGAACGCGAGTCGAGCGTTGATTTCGGATCTCGAATATATTCGTTACACGAATTTGTACCGTTTTATCCTGTATACTGTTTTCACACGAATATGGGATCGAAAATAGATCGATCGAGTTATATAAATTTGATTCGAAGAGGTACTCGAGAATAATCCTTCGTTTATTTTCCTTCTCCGAAAAGTTTCGAAGTGTTTCAATGAAAAACGAGTGAATCTCGTTCGAGGAAGATAATTTCCCGGAACGGGCAGTTTCGAGATGAAAAGATCGATTATCATTCTCGTTCTAGAAGAACATCTACGGAAAGCGGAATCAAATCGTATATGAAAGTGAAACGTTGCATAACGTCGAAAGTTCGTTCGAAGATATTTTTTGATAAATGCCATTGAATGAGTTATTAACGAGACGCCGTTCAGGAGACGTGTTATTGGAATGTCGATCGTCCGTTGAGCAATGTAATAGATAATAGATAATAGGAATTTTATATCTACTACAATTCTACTAATGAAAAATGTTGAGAACGGAATAGAAGTACAAGGTCGTGTGAAGATTTTTTTTTTTTCCTTGAAATTCGATATTTTTTCCTGACTTCGAGTCGAATTGTTATTATCAAGAAATAATAACGATTATAACATCCGCGGTTTTTTTTTAAAATTTAGTTCCCATAATTGATTAATTAAGCATGATTGAAAGATTCTCAGTTTTCCCATTGAATGATGATTGCTTTTTTTCGTTTTTTTTTTTTTTTTATCGTTTGAATTACTGGTAAATAAGCGGAAACGTATAACAAAATACGCATAAACTCACTTACGACGTTTATAATGCCAAACGAACTGCAAATTATTCGCGTGTCTTCTTAAGCCGTAAAAATGGGAAACTTTTGTCGTGAAAAAAAAA